TTTTATCCCTTTTGTAACATGCTGAGCATAAGGGTAGTTTTCAACATACAACCATAATTGCAAAGTTTTAAGTACACTACATAACATACAATCAAACTATAGCTGATATAGTTTGGGAACATTACATAACTTTACAGAATTCATTACACGAAACGAGAACATACATTCAAACTATAATAGGTATAGTTTGGGATACAATACACTGTTTTACTATTTCGAGAACAATATACAGAAATGAACACATATAAGCTATGGTAGATATAGTTTGTGATATACAATACTGTTTTCCGAACACCAGAGTACAATACTAAATAATTATTTAAGCATAATTATTTTTACTCTATAAAGTTATACATACAGTTTCAAGTACAAGAGAACACTACAACACTACATGTAAACTAGTTAGTATAGGGTTGTGAGGCACTACTTCAATTGTACCCTCCGGGTACAAAACTAAATCCTACCACAGTATAACCAGAGTCTCCTGGAGGGAGAGCGTGAGATTTGTGTATAGATCTATACGGGACTGACAATCCCACACCTGAACTGGTAGCTATAGTTAGGCAGGCATGCCTAGGGTGAAAAATGTCATAACATCCAACGCCTGAAGAACGTCGTAGAGGTCAGTAGGTCACATCAAGCATAGTTAAACCAAACTCACAACACTATAACTAACAGTTTGTTTACGTGATTTCAATTCTTCAAATGGTTTTATTTTAATTAATAGAACTACTATACACTACACTGGAGGATTCCAGTGATTTCAAATACATGGTTTTATTTTAAGTAATAAAACTACTATACATATTGGTGGTAGCCAGGGTTTTTCATACAGAACAATACTATACAATATTGGTGGTAGCCAGAGTTTTTCATACAGAACAACACTATACATACTGGTGGTAACCATGGTTTTCAAACAAGAGTCTTCATACAAAACAGTACAATACGATACAGCTGGTGGTAACTAGGCATACATACTAACACTTTTATATACAACTACAGAATATAGTAACGAACATACATTTTGGGTCTTAGGGTTTTAAGACTACTTTACATTACTAAAGAAAATATTGGATTTTCTTGAGAAACATACGAACATTTTCACAGATTCAAAGACAGGTTTCCATTACAAAAACATACTTATGAACTCACCAACTTAAATGTTGATACACTTTCAAAATCACTTGTATTCTCAGGGAACCAGTAGACAGGTACACCCGTAGGCTTTTAAGAAGACGAAGCTTATAGAGTCGCGTCTTTTATACTTTTGTTATACTTTTGCTGTTAAACAAGTTATGTATCGAACAGATGTAAATACCTTATATATATTTTCAATGTAATGGTTGTGTTTACTTTGATTACTACGATGCAATTGTTGTGATACTGTACATGACGTTCCCCACCCCCAAACGTTTCCGCCGTCTCGGTTTGGGGGTGTGACATATAAAAACCTCTAGAGACACCATGAATTGATGTAACTAATCTGATATGTAAAGCATTTAAATTATTCAAAAAACTCCAATGATATTTCAATAGTAGAGCATCATTAAAAGCCAAAAGACTATCATGGACAAGGCCACCATGCTCTTTAGAATCCAAAAAGAAAGACCATTTAACCCGAGCAATCTTCTTCTCATCTAAACCAGCTCCCTAAAATATAAAGTTATAGCCACTTCTAATCTAACCAAATTTTATGGACATTTTAAACAAAGACAAGAAGTAAAAGCCCAAGGCACCAAGCACGTATCTAATCAATGTATACTGACGACAAATCGATAACATTTTACCTTCAAGCTATTTAGCTTGCTCTTGATGCTATTACAATAAATTGACATGGGATATGTTACTGCTAACCATCACCCCTATATATTTAGCACCCCTGATATATTTAAATGGAAGAAAATCACAGCCTGCCACGGAAGCCATTTTTGAATTTCTCCATTATCTCTTATTTTTCAAAAGTGATTTGAACACCTTCCATTTTTGGTGAGATTTTAGCTCGACCATGGAATACTTAGTGTTTTGGCAATCTTACCCCTTAGCCTGATCATAATCAGAGTCCAAGAAATGTGTACCAGTGTCCGGTCTTTATTTTTTTGTTTAAAAAAATAACTTTTTGATGTATTATTGCTTTAGTGGTTAAAAAGATTGTGAAATCTTGGATTTATACTTGTAGATGGCAAAACAAACAATGGGGGTTCTCTTCACAAGGAATCAATTGTCGTGCAAATCAAAAGCTTTATCACCTTCTGGTTTCTCTTTCTCTTTTAACAGTTTTATACTTTAAAAAAAAGAATCTTTTTATATAAATTGGTTTTTATAGATTCCTCAAGCTCTGATTGTTCGCACTGCTACAGATGAAATGTTCAGTTTTATTATCTCTAAAATGAACTTTCTAATTGTGTTTTAAGTTTCTTTTTACTAGCAGAAGATATCGTGTACATGTTCTTGTGCTGCTATTGTGGATTCAGGACTTCTGTAGTATGTGTTTTAACATTATCAAAGGAATTGCTCGAGGACTTCTTTATCTGCATCAAGATTCACGATTACGAATCATCCATAGAGATCTTAAAGCTAGCAATGTTTTACTTGATTTGGACATAAACCCCAAGATATCATACATTGGCATGACTAGAAGCTTTGGGGGAAACGAGACTCAAGCAAACACACAGAGAGTTGTGTGGCACATAGTAAGCTAGATAATGCAACTGTATATATAAATTCTGCTTCACTTGAGTTCATTTTTTTATTACATTTCCTCAATATTGGAATAATTATTTGTATTTGACATATTAGTGAAATGAATTATCTTTGTTATTTATGGTATTTTGTTTTGTATTATTGGAATAATTATTTGTATTTGACATATTAGTGAAATAAACTTTGTAAATGGTTGCTGAAGTTTATGAAACGCAAATGCGTGTCATCTTCATTTATGATAGGGGCTTTAATGATATGCAATGCGTGTCCTAAACGCGCGTTGTAAGGTTACGACACGCAAATGCGTGCCTTCTTCCTTTATGACAGGGCCTTCCTTGATACGCATTGCGTGTCGTAACTGCGCGTTGTAAATGTGTCTCGTAAATGCGCGTCGTAACTGAGCGTCGTAAATAGACGACGCGCAAAAGCGTGTCGTCTCTCGTTATGACAGGGCCTTCCTTGACACACATTTGCGCATCGTCTGAGCGTTTTACGACACGCATTGCACGTCGTAAAAGGCTGTTTTTCTAGTAGTGAGCCATGAGACTTTATGAAAGCACTTCAGGATTAAGACAAGATTTTCCACATTCTGAGAAGACCGTTGACCATCAAATAAAGCTTCATCCACATATACAGTAAATGATGATTAGACCACTGGCCATCAAGTAAAGCGTCATCCACATAAGTAAATGAGATACATGAATATCATCCATCCCTAATTTTACCGAACATAACAAATCAACATCTAGCGAATCAAGCATAACAACATTAAAAGCTTCCATAACAAGAAGAAAAAGAGAAGGAGACAAGGGGTGAAGGGGGTTGCAGCTCCTTACAGGGTCATGGGACAGATCTACTGGTGGTGTTCCGATGTTGGCAACCTAAGTAGCTCAGAGGAAGTGGAGAAACTTCTCCGAGATGAAGGAAGGAAAAAACATACTAAGTTTGGATCTACTTGAAGACAACTTGCATGTAGCTCAAGCCGACAACACAAAACTATTTGTGATAGCTCCGATCCAAGCTATCTCAAATTTTGTTGTACTTATCCAATATCCAGATAGATGAGTATATATATACTCAACTTTCTCTAGTTTGAAACTCTTTTACTAAAATTAACCCACAATATATTATCTAGGAAGTACTCTGTTTTTGTGCCAAAATTTTTGATTGATATTTCATATATTATTCTAATAACTCATGCATTATATGACAGAAATATCAACACCAAAAAGTGAACCTATATCCGGTGACAGTTTTACTATGGTGTCCGTAGTGGCACAGACAACGTCTGTTTTTTCTGACGTAGTGCAAAAAAAAATCAATTTTTTTAATTTTTTATTATTATCGTGACACTACTAAATTTTCCCGTGATACCCATACTATGAAATCTTACGTCTGCCCCTGCCTATACTTGAAACAATCCATATTCTTGGCTATCGATATTCTATTTTCTACACTATTTTTCCAAACTAAGTCCACCCATATAAATAAAAATTATGCAAATGTAAGCAATGAAGCATTATTGCAAAACGAGCCGAGCCGAACCGAGCCCGAGCTTGACCAGGCTCGATTCGGGCTCGTTTAATTTATATGAAGCTCGAGCTCGAGCTCGGATCGATTCAAGCTTTCTTGTATTGAGCTCGGCTTGAGCTTGTAAAAAATTATACAAGTTCGGCTAGGGCTCGGGCTCGACTCGTTTTTTATCTGACGTGCCTAAATAAGTTTAAGCTCGGCTCGAACTCGTTAAGAAGCTCGTTTACCAATACCCTAAATCCATAATTCCCCAAATATGTTTTTATTTTAATATATATAAATAATAATAAATTATATTATATAAAGGCTCGTTTAGGTTCGTGAGCCTAATCGAGCTTAATGACATAGGCTCGAGCTCGAGCTCGTTTAATAAACGAGCTTAATATTAAGCTCGAGCTCGACTCAGGCTCGTTTAAAATCAATTTCAAGTCAAGCTTTTAACGATCCGATCCCGAGTAGCTCGCGAGTAGCTTGGCTCGTTTGCACCCCTATTTGAAATTTGTCTCAAAATTTTGCATCAAGACAATGTACATTAATCTACCGTGTCCGAGTATCAACCAAAGCCATCAAAACCAAACGGTCAAAAGGCACATGATGGTCAAGTAACCGGCTAAACCCACAGTCGACCAGAGCTGCATATCAAAAAAATTATCAAAAGAAAATATCAAATATGCGACTTTCCAAAATGTAATTTGAGAAAGACCAATGTTTACCATCCATGTCCATGTAGATAGATGTAAGGCTCTCCTATATTTTAGAACACCATGAATTTCTCTCACAAACTCATCTTTCTTGTTCCTTTTCCTTCTCCAAATGCCCTTATCCCCACTTCTTCTTCTCCTACCGAATTCCTTGCGATGGCGGATTATCAAACTCAACTTCTTCTCCTTCGCCACTTTCAACCAAATCAAACCATATTTATCAACCACCGATTCATAATCAAATGCACAGTCCTAACGAAGACCTCGAAGGCGGTCGCCGCCGTCGCAATTCACCCTCCTGTTGGACTCTGTTCTATGCTTTGGGTCTCCTTCCTCATCTGGACTATCGTAATCTTCTCTCTAATATTCGGAATCGCCTTCTTCGCTTTCGTCAGATCTAATCTCCCCGACGTCAAAGTGCATAGGCTTGATGTTTACAAGCTTGATGTGATTCAACCGAAGAACAAAAACAAGGATACGCAATTGGCGATTGATGTTGAGCTATTTGTTAACGTGACAAACAACAACAAGAAGGTGACATTAGTTTATGATGGAATGCATGTGGAGACGAAGATCGAAGGATTCTCGTTACCGAAAGTTCATTTGGAGGGATTCAGGCAGAATCCTCAGACATC